AAAAAAAAAAAAAAAATCTCTCTATTACATATTTATTCAACAACTGTTTGTATCTCCAGAACAACTGCAAAGAAAACAAGCTGGGGTGATTATAATACTGCTGTTTTTTAAAAGTTGACATCAGTAAATTTTGTGTTTTGTAGTTATCCTGTAAGTCAACATATCGCCTGTAAAGTGAACTTGGGGGAAAAAAGCAAAACATGGTCTGCATTCTGTAAATGTACATGCAGATGAGCCACCGACTAAGCCTGGTTCTTCTCCTGAGGTAGATTGTAGACAGTAGTTTAAGAGTCTAAGGCATGAGTTTTTCTCGCTGATTCCCTGAAAATCTGTTGCCACAGTGTCTTCTTAATCCCGATTTTCTTGATAAGCTTTTTTTGTTTATTGTCTCTTCCCTCTTTGTGGATTGGGTAGCGAGAAGAGAGATTATAGTATATATCTTTCTTTCCTTTCCCTCTACCTTCTCAAAAATTCTTTAAATAGATATATATCTCCCAGTACTCTCTCATGTTATCTTTTTGCATTCAGAGAACAAGCCAAGAACTTCCTTGAAGAAGCAGCACTTAATGTAGATATGGGCATATCTACAGTGCCAGTGGAGAAAGACTGGGACCATGACCAAATGCTTGATTCTATTGACAACAAATAGCATGGCATGACAGAGGGCAGAAATACCCATTGAGGACGTCAGGAACTAAGAGTCTGGGGGTGAGCTTACCACATGTGATGGCAGTGGGCCAGTATGGAAGGAGATGGGACTGTGCTGCCCACTATCTCTACTGATAAAGAATGATGCTTCTCTACGTAGGTAATAAAATAGGAAAATGACTTGATTCTTTGCAGTGCAAGGGCATAAGCTTTCTCATATGTACCACAGGGATGACCCTGTATACTACGGTTTTTCGTACAGAATCCCATTTCCCTGTGCACAGCACACTTTAGGTAACAGTATTCAACTTGAAACTCATCAGGGGAACCCACTGCTATACCAGGCTCAAGGTATAACTAACTCCTAAATTTCCCTTTATGGTGACCTTTACATTTAAATCGGTTTATCCATGGTGCCTCCCCAAATCACAAGACCAAAGACCACCAAACGCAGGATGGACTCTGCTCATTATTCTTTGACCAGGAAAGACCACAAAACGGGATGTGCTTTAAATGCTGTTCTCCCTGAAAAATGAGAACCTTTAAATTACCCGTGGAACTGGTGTTTTCAGAGAATGAGGAATTATTTTGACATTTATAAAGAGAAAGGATTATGGCCTTTGATCTGCCACATAGAGGTGAACACTAGAATCTGGAGAATAGCGTGACAAGTAGGTTCTGATTGGGTGGAAGTGTGAACTTCCTGAGCGTGAGAGGCACACTGAAAGAGGAACTCCTCAAAGTAAAATAAAGTAATTTGCATCCCCACAACATCTTCCAACATAGACTACCTCTTCTCTCGCTGAATCAGCCCAACTGTAAAGCTCTAGTGGTCTGCTTAATTGTTTAACCTTAGAGAGATCTTTGTTTTAATCCAGCAGTATTCGGGCCAGCTATTTTTGGAAGCAATGACATTTATTGCCTTTGCAGTGTTCACAAGTCTGAATATTGGGGGCTCAACACTAGGCTTCTCTTCTGGTCCCTGGAATCCCACATCTTAGTTGTTCAGACCTGACTTTGCAGGCTTTTAAAGCACAGATCAATTCAGCTGATGTTTCTGAAGCACTCTAAGTACTGTAGACTAGAAAACTGATTTTACTGTAATCGTGCACTGAGGAATGCTTTTTAAAACTTAAAATAAAATAAACCAATAATGTCTGAATGGAGCGAGATGCAAACTGGTTTAATCCTTGCCTTGATGAGCAGGAAGACTGATTTATCACTCAGCTCCTCAAGAATTCCTTCCTCTTACTGCAGAATTTTGAGAGTTGGCATTTGATGGAGCACAACTGATAGAGTGTGGTCCTATTTGCTGTTAGCAAAATGGGACAAATCCAGGAAATTTTTATCTTTCAGAACTGCATGTCTGATGAAAGCAAGCACTTGTCACTTGTACGGAGGCTGACAGATCTTCCATGGCCGTAACCCGTCGGCATTTCGCTTGTACTCACGGCCAGTACAGACGCCCCTACAGCTGACAGGCAAAGCTGTATGACAGTCTGTCACCAACTACAGATGGAAGGATTGGAAAATATAAGCTGAATTAAAAGAAATGCCTGATCCCAAACAGGAACAATGCAGTCACTCTGCCACAAGCACCTCACTTGAGCAGGATTCAGTGGACAATTATAAAACAAGTGTTGGTTGATTTACTTCCATTTTGGAATTAGCAAGCCAGAGTCATCTCTAGGGGAAATACCTTAGAATATATTCAATTGGTTCATAGAGGTGGCAAATTATCAGGAAGTCATTGGGCTTTATGGAATTAAACTCTTCCCTTGTTATTTAAAGGAGGGTGTTGTTGTTTGTTTGTTTTTTTAATTATTTCACAAATCTTTATCCTGGAAAAAAATAAAATTCTTCTTGGACTTAATGCAAGGCTATTATTATTTTTTTTTTTTTTTTAATTTTAGAGAGTGCACTCAAGTAGGGGAGAGGGGTAGAGGGAGAAAGAGAATCTGAAGCAGGCTCCTCGCTGAGCACAGAGCCTATGAGGGACTCCATCCCATGACCCTGGGATCATGACCTCGGTGGAAATCAAAAGTCAGACACAACCAACTGAGCCACCCAGGCGCCCCCATTATTTTAAAGTAACAGAAAAATTTAGGATAAAGCTAACAAGTCGTTGGGGCGGGGGGAGTTGGAAGGGGTTGGGCTGAATTAAGAGTTGAGAAATCAGGAAAGAACCAATGTAGAGGATCTTAAGGACTGAGAGGTATGATCTGTCCCCAAAGACAATGATGTGTGTGGTGAGGTGGGTAGGAGGTGGTGAAAATGATCAAGACCATTTAGGAACCCTGGGCAGAGAGTGTGATTTGGGGCAAGGAGTGGAGGTCGGTCGACTTCTCTTACCGCCCGGATCTGGAGTTCCACCACCACCTCCAGAGGCATGGTCCCCTGTGTGGGCGAAAAGCACTGGAATGAAAAGATCCTTTTGTGCTCAGCCCTGGGCCAATTTTTCTTGGTTTAGCTCAATCCCTAGGGCAAACGTTCCCAGCAGCTTCCCCAGGCCCTTTATCCCCTGGTCTCGCCATCCGTCCCCCCGCCCTCCGCCCCAGCCCAGGTCCCTCCCACCGGGATGGGTCTCACACTGCGCGAGCTGGAGCCAAGGCTTCCAGAAGGCGGAAGCGTCGCGTTGCCATGAACGCTCAAACTCGCAGCCTTCCACTTGGAACGCGCCAGCGAGGCTCTGCGCAGGCGTGCGCGCCCCCGGCCGCCCCACTGGAAACGCGGCGCGTGCCCGAAGTGGGCTTCCCAGGCTGTGCGCGAGCCCCAGCAGGTGCAAGCTTGGCGGCTGGATCCTGAGCTGCTGAAAGAGCTCCCGTTTCCTTTCCCCCAACCCTCTCCATCACCTCTCTTTATGGCCCCCATTGCTATGTTAAAATGTTCACAGAGTCCATTCTGAAAGGGGAATATGATCATGAGCTCCGTTATCATTTAAGTGCTACCCGCTTTTAGTAGCTGTAAGACCGCCAAGCCCCAAAATTTCTTTAACAGTTCAATTAATATAATAGCCTGTCCCTAAAGGTACTCTCTTGCTTACGAAATGTTATGTCCTTATGTTTGGTTTGGAAAACATGGCCCCCTTCAATAACAAGAAATTAACATGTTGCTTATTGGAAATACAAGGATAATTCCGAAAGAGATTTAAACGTTTGGTTTCCACGTTAGCCACAGTAGAAATATTTGTCAGTCTCTCTTTTCTGGCGTTTACTTAACCGGGAGCAAGCAGGGAGTTACATTATCTCCCAGTGGGTAGTTACCATGGTTGCCAAAGGCAGGGCCACACTGTAAAAACCATCAGAGGGGACAGGCAGAGAAAAAGTTTTTCACCAGTAGGGGAAATTGCTTTTTGTCCATTCACTGTATTTAACAGACAAAAAGACAGGAAAGGAGGCGGGAGTGACTGCTTCTAGCCAATCTGAAAAATCTGGGAGGGCCAGTGCTGTCTCTGGAAAGAAATCTTAAATTGTGATGAGTCATTTATTACTAACCTTTTGGAGATTTATGCCACTGCAGAAATCCAAGTGTTCTGTGACAAGAATTAGGCATTCTTTGGGAACCAGAGTTCCTTTCCCAGGAACAGAAAGGCTCAGTACGATGAAGGAAGGTATATTATGTCCTTATCCAATCTTTGTTGCTCTGTCTGCATACCGAGAGAAACACAGGTGCATGCTTGGCCCCCTGCAACATCCGGAGAACTGATTTGTTGACTCACGACAGCGTGCCGGCACCCAGACAAGAGCAGGGATACACAGGAACATGAACTGTGTTGACCCTCACAGGTAAGTTACCACCACCAATGCTAAGTCATCATGGAGAGTAACAACCAAAACAGATGAATAAATAAGATGGATAGATGAATAAGTGAGATGAAATAAATAGATGAATAAATGAGTGGACAGGGACACAAAGGAAGGGAGGAATCGATCTTTCTTGAGAAAGTGCAAAGTGCTAGGCACATTGCATACGCTAATTCATTTCATCTCCACATTAACTCTTGGAGGAAGAGATTCTCCGTTTAACAGATGCAGGATCTGAGGCCAGCCTTTCCCCAAGGTCACATGGCTAAAGGGAAACAGCCACACTTGAATCCAGGTGTGCCCTACCACATCACTGCCCCTGCGGCATAGAAATCCTATTGGTTTCTACAGACACACTGCCCCATCCTGTGTTCTTACTAGTCTTAATCGGACTCTCCTTGCTTGGCTCCTAGAATACAGCCCTTTTCTGGTTTCCCTTCAAC